TCGCGCTCCGGCCGGGCGGGGGAAGGGAGCGGAGCGCGCCGCGTGCGTCCCGGGCCCCGCGTGCTGGGTGTCCCGGCCTGGCGCGCGCGCCCCTGCTCCCTCCGGGGGCCACCAAGCTGGGCAGGCAGCGCCAGAGCCCGGCCTGGGCTACTGCAGCTGCCGAGAGCCCAGAGGGCTCACTCCGCACCCGGCTGGGCCTGGAGGGGGATGGGAGGGGTCCGCGGCTCCGCTGCTTGGGGTGCGTTCCCGGTCCCGCACCCCCAAGGGGCCCACGAGGCTAGAATCGCCCCACTTTCCAGATAGGGAAGGTGGGTGCGGTGCATGGGAAGGACCGCGTGACCTGGAGAGGTGCGCGACCCCTGGCCCAGCCGCATCCTGCGGAACAGCGCTAGACCTTGGGTACCACTTAGCATCATCCCTCGCTGCCCCCCTGCCGTCCCGCTGTCACTAGGGCCAGGTGCAGACCAGCGCTGAGGACCCATCCTGTTCATGCCCCTTGACCCCCAGTGCGAAACGGCGTAGTGAGGACTCTTCGAGCCCCTCCGAGGCCGCCCTCCCCGCGTGGGCGTGGGCATCCATCTCCTGTGAGAGCCTCCCCTGGGGGGTGGGCATCCTGCTGTGCTGGACTGGGACCTAGGGCCCAGGGAAAGGGGCAGGGCGAGTGCGACGCCAGGATCACGGAGGGACAGGGGTCCCCGCGCTTCTTGGACCAGAACACCGCGTCCCACTCATTCCGACCCACCCTCAGGTCTCGTCTCCTGCCTCTCTACCTCCTGTCCAGTCTCCCCGCTTCCCGGGTCTTCTTCTCTCTTCAATATGAGCAACGGTCCTCGGCCGAGGCCCCTGTGTCTCTGGTGACCATGCTCTTTGCTCCTGGAGCCCCTGCGAGGGGCCGCCCAGTTTCAAGAGATGATTTCTCCTCCGGCTTTCAGTGGAGGAGAGAAGGTGATCAAAATCCCCTGTCTGGGCAGGGCTGTGAGAACTGAGGTCCTCAGGAGACCCAGGCAAGACCCGGGCGACCCTCCTGCAGGGTGTCGGCCTCCCAAGGAGGGTGGCTGGTCCCTGTCCCTGTTCCCAAGTCCCCAAGACACAAGCGCTTTGCTTTCAGCTTTGCCCTTGACTCTGCTTGCCCTTTCTGGATTTCTAATTTTGCAATACGAACCTTCAGTTCTTACTGCTTTTCTTTTTAAAACTCTTTTAGAATTAAAACTCTGTAAAAGTTTATAGAAGAAACTATTTAATATCCTTAAAATCTGTAACAAATGTATTGGCATATCTGCTTGCATTTTTTAAAGTCACTTTTCTTAATAAATAAAATAAATAAATAAATGGTAAATAAATAAAAATAAAGTCACTTTCCTGCCTGGGGCAGTGACATAGGCACATAATGCCAGCACTCTGGGGGCCTGAAGCAGGAAGGTTGCAAGTCTCAGCTCAGCACCATGAGCAATTTGGCAGCTACTAAGCCAAGAAAGCAAGAAAGACCTGACTCCAAACAAAAAAATAAAATAAAATAAAAAATGTTAAGGATGTACCTCCCCGATTCTAAGTCCTGGGTTTAGTCCTCAGTGCCACCAAAAACAAAAAGTCACTTCTTGCAAAAGTGATGCATAAATGTGTTGTTAAAAATTAAAGTATTGGGACTGGGGAGATGGCTCAGTGGAATAAGTGCTTCCCTGGAAAGTGCCAGGGCCTGAGTTCAATCCCCAGTTCCGAAAAAAAAAAAAAAATTAAAGTATTAAAATGATTTTAAAAATGTAAATTATATCAAAGGTAATGTCAAATTTTAGACATTACTGTAGGCCTTTTAGAAATATTGATAGAAAAAAATATTGAAAGATACATGAGTAGATACATGTTTAACCAATTGAAAAAAAATCATTTTAAAATGTCAGTGTCTCATTTTTTCCCATAATTTTATGGAGAAACAAATAGCAATGAGACAGTTTCAAACCAAACTGGTAGGATAATTTCAATAATTAGTATCTCATAATTGCTAGTTTTCTGCTTAGTGTTTTTCTCTGTGTGTGAAT